ATCTTTGTTATGCAACCCATCAGGGGACGGGGTCATATTTGCTATTGATATGGTTTTTCTGATTTTTTTTCCGTACCTCCTTAGTCAGAGGTGCGCCAAAATTACCATTTGTGATGGCTCATAAAAGATATGTAGGTACTGTTCGGCTTAGAGGGGGAAGAGCATTTTGTGCTTTCGTTGGCTCGTTGTTAATTTACGTTTAACTAATAAGCCTCACCTTGGTCAGACCTGTGAACTCCTTTGAAACTGCGAAATTGTTTGAGTGAGCCACTTCGCTCGCAGGATTTTTCATGTAATCACAATGTGGCCTATAAAACATACTTGACTAGCAGCTGGTGTCCCCACCAAGACGAACTGCTCCAATATCTCTGGTGTCCCACCTGGCAAAATACCCAACGGCCCGGTTTGCTGTGGGGGTGATCAGAACACAGCAAGGCCTGTGCGCCTCCCCTCATCGAGGCTTAGGCTTTTGGTTAGTGGAGAATAGGTCTCCCTGCGAGACTATACTTCGGCAATGCCGCTCGTCTGCTTACTCTCAGTCAAAACATCAGGAGAAGGGGCAGAGAAGCGCAGCTGAGTGCCTCCCCCCCAACGTGCCAGCGTCCAAATTACCAACTGACTCGGTTTCTCAGGCACTTTTGCATGAAAATTCATGTTGTGCTGTTGGTAGCGTTATTGGTGGAATGCCGACGGATTTCTGAAAAAGAAAATAAACTTCTGAAGGAATTCTGTGGACGCCACATTTCTTCAAGTGAGTTTGCGATTTTCAAATTATGGGAAAACTCACCGAATGTTTGAAAGAATGAATGAACAAATTCTTATATTTTTGGAAGTTTTTTATATCAAAAGTTGTTCTATTTGAGCAGAAGCCGAAAACGAAAGTCGAGGCAATGCTAGAAGGATTCAAGCAAGTGAATATCCATGGCTGGCTAGATTGGAACACGATGACTTTTATATGTGTGTATATATTCTAGAAATGAAGTCCAGGGGCAGTTTGGCGACGGAGGGGGGGGGGCATTTGGCACTTTTGCTACTTCCCATCGACGTGTAGACCCATCTCGAGAGCCTTTTCTCCAGTTGGCAGGTTTTACCATGGTGGCTCCACGAGCTTGCTCCAGCTTCGCAAGAGTTCAGTTTCACCAGAATTAGACTTGTAATAACGTGAAATACGGAATTATTGGAGCAACTGCAAAGTGTCCCCCCCGTCACCGAGCTGCGCCTAAAGTCCATATCGGAGTTTAGCAAAGGGCGTTTCGGATACGAGTACGCACCACCGTGCCGTTCTACTGACTCACATAGATACATCTCTACGTCCCTTTCGTCTCCGTCTTCTCCCCTCTCGTGGGTATGCCTCTTGTTACCCTTAGATATAGACTATAGCTCATCGCCAAAACGGAAATTCCTGGAAGTTCTTTGGCACGAGAAAACCACTTGCGAAAGATGTCGTGACATTAAGACACGCCCCAGACGCCAATAGTGAATAGAGTTTCAAAGACGGTCCTTTTTTTGAGACATTGGTGGCTAGCTTGGAGAAGAGACTCGGACACAGTTCGGCTTAGGAAGTACTGGATTGTACTTAGCTAAGCCTGCACAAGTCACCTTGTAAAAACTCGCTAATTCCTTTTACCGTAGTGATGCAAACGTAAAAATTCGCAGCTTCACATGTCCGACCGAAATAAAAGCTGTTATTCAACAAGTGCTAAGAGAAGGAACCAGAAAACGTTCAAAATGCCCCCTCCAAGTCGAACAACGCCGAAAATCAATTTAGCAGTAAGTTCAGGGATTAGCAGTAAGTTCAGGGTGGGAACGCTTCAACTGCCTGGGCGCGCTGATCTCATCGGGCCATGTTCTCACAGCGGCACATTGTCTCACAGAAACTGACAAACAACATAATCAGGAACAGTGCTATTTGAAGAAATCTTCAAGAAGGTCCGTCAAGGTCTCCTTTCCTTCTAAAAAAGGAAAGATTTTTGTGACAGTATTCCAGATTCAAACGCAGTCTGCTCAACGTCACGAATTTCGCCATATACCTTGATAACGGCTGTGGTTCGTCTGAGGGGTGCAAAGGAAAATATCTTGGCTCAAAGGTGAAGTTCTACTATTTTTATTACAATCGAGGGTGTGTGGAACGCTACGTCTTTGTTATAGTAACTATCACAAACTGACTAATATTTCCTGGCCAGTTGACCCGAAGTGCTGCGGTACTTGTACCTTAAACCAGTAAGGTCTTGGTGCGAATGCCGCGCTTGAGCACGTGATATTTTTATTACAGATGTGGTTCAATGACGACTGGGATCCGTGCGATCAAACCGATGACATCGCTATCATTGAACTAGCAGAAGACGCCCGTACCCGAGGACGGACACCGATTTGTCTGCCTGATGCAGTCGTTCCATTGGACAAACACTTGAGAGCATTTGGTTCAGGTGGAAAAGGTGACTGTTATAAGCCCTCTACTCTTACCATTAGATGGCAACGAGAGAAGGAGCGAAGGGGTCAGTGAAAACTTCCACAGATGATGGCTATTTTAGGGGCATTGTCGAATAAACCACCTGAGGGCACCCTGTCGGAAGCCGAACTTCATCTGTTCGCAGAACGTGCCTCATTGAAAACTTTCCAGACTTTGTCGAAGGTACCACTTTTGTGCCGAGTGAGTTGATGAGCATACTTTTCCCACACAATGGACTTACGCTTTCGCCCGCAGTCTATTCGGTGTATTCTATGGTTTCCGAAGTGTCTTGATCCCATTCAGAGAACTCAAAAACCATGATAGAATCTGTTCTGGCGGCCACGAAACATCGCTTTATTCATAGTCTCGGTCAGGAAATCCACGTTGCGGCGACGCAGCGGAAGCGGCATTGTATGTCTTTCGCACAAGGACCTCCAGCTTACTAGGACATGCGAGTTTGGGAGCGTGGCTTCTAGGTGAATCTACCAACCGATATCCCATCTCCGCGGGAACCTTTCGTTGAACTCTTTTAGAGAGTAATTACCGGTATGCTGAGTTATGAGAAGCGTTTCCCCCGGCGGGTCTCGAACCTGCGCCTCAGGCATTCGGGATGGCCCCGTGCTTTGTCAAAGAGGAGCAAGAACTGGGTGCTGCTGCTGGCTGCTTAGTTGACAGCGATGCGACCATCGCGCGATCAAGATATCAGGGGTTTCAACGACTTATGCAGCATTTCTTATCTACTTGACCCGTTTTACAATGGAACTTTCGCATTCGAATCAGTGCGGTCCAGATCACCCGACACTACACATTACACATTACAACCAGTAATGGTTCAAGCTGCCACCGCAACTCAAATCTCTTGACCCACAGCCACAGGATGGCGCTGTTCGGCGACCGAGGGGACATTTTGTACCTTCACTGCTTTACTAGTTCCGGTTCACAAGTTCCGCTCTGGTGAAACCTGTGAACACTTGTGAAGCTGGAGCAAGCTCGTCTAGCCACCATGGTAAAACCCGTCAACTCTTGTCTTGCTCATGAAAGAGCTCTCTAGATGGGTCGCAGTGCAAAATACCCCTATTTAGCCGACAAACGGTGCAATCGACGTTCCATCTCGTAATAGTGGAGCATCACCATAGATGTTCCGTAGCGACAGTCAGAGGCTCTCCCTCTACCCCCATTCGATTGCTGTTCGGCTTGTTAGGGGCATTTTTCACTTTCGCTAGTTCCTTCTGCAAGTTCGTGTTAACTAACAGGCTTCATTTTATGGTACACCGGTACGGTGGTATGAAGCTTCAAAATGGAACTGCGCCCATTTCAGCTAATGATTACAGGGTGACAGTGGTGGTCCAGTATTCCAACTCAACTCGCGTGCCAGATTCACCGTGGTCGGGGTCACAGCGGGTGGTCGAAGGGATTGTGGAAAAAAGTCGCTGTGTATGTGTTCACCCATTTTTGAATGGAATGAGAATTGAGAACTAGAGGAGATTTCAGTTTATATCAACAACTTCGCAGACGTACGGTATGATGTCGAATGGATCTGCAAACAAACAGGTCAGTAAGATTTTGACGGATATTTTATGTCCTTACAGGTTTATAACCGCCTGGATTTATTAAAGGCACATTTCGGGAATAATTACAAAAATCGGTCCTCTCTGCGAGGAAGGGGAGCATGACCGGAAGGATGCGTGAGAGGGGTGACAGGAGTAAGCAGAAGAAACTACAGTAGTAGCAAGAATAGAAATGTGCTTCTTCCCCTCCCCCAACTTGAGCCGAGCAGCTCCCGCAATAACTGTACTCTTAGGGAAGCGACGTCGTGGCCACGTCCGCGGGCTCTCGCGCCAGATATTTCTCTTGCATCCGCCCACTGGCAGTTATGTCGCTCTCGCCGCGATGCCGCAACTAGAATCTCCCCACCCGTACCCCCCTTCTCCCCACCCCGACAGCATGTTGTTAATTTTATAGAAGTTTGTGTAGAAGATATCAATAAACTGGTTATTCCCATGACTGTTCGACTCAATTTCAGGCATATGCCCCATCGCTCGAGCTGTTCGATGAAGTAGAAAGTCAGGAAAGAATCCATGCAACAATCTAGGATGCTGTACCATGTGATAAAATAAATCGTTTCCAAACAAATGATTTGTTACTGTTGAGCATGAGCATATGACACCAAAGAGTTCCTGCGGAAGCTGGTCATCAGTACGTGATCCCAGTGTTGTCATCTCACGATAACCGAGTTCATGCCGCGGAGAACGCCAAGCATTTTGCACCACATCGCGAGAGCCAGCAAAGGAAAAACGAAAATCCAAAGAAAATGTGGTTGGAGAAGAGTTTTCTACGGAGTGAAGAGTCAACTTTCTGGCTCCAAACGGCCTAAATGATGAACCTTTCAGAACTGACCGCACCTTTCTCCACACGCGCCATGCAGTCGACTTCTATGATTTTCCATGATCGCGTGAAAAGCTAATAGGACTCCCTATTGGCTTCTCATACGATCTTGACCAATGCG